AAAAAAAAAAAAAAAAAAAAAGAGCCACTGTGTTAGGGTATAAATACCTTAAAGGAAAGCAGAGGAGCCTAATTCTTTTGAAACCAAATTAATGACTATACTCAACTAAGAGCTTCTTCAATTCCTGGGTATTTTCAATGTCATGAGTATCTTTAACCATGCTCTTTTCCAATCCCATGCCCTGACTCTGGCCACCTCTTTGCATCCTCCTCATCTGGATCCATCTGCAGTCCTACCATTAATGTCCAATACCCACATCAAGAGTCTACCTAGCACCTCCTCCCCAGTTACTCTGCCCAGAATCATTGTGAATTGTCTTCCAAAATTCCTAGTACACAATTTTCCTTTTCTGATCACATACATTACTCTCTGATAGTCTTGATCCTTCCTTTTAGTGGTCAACTAACATCTGTTGAGTGAATGATTGTCCCAATAATCTCTTCCACCTGGAGGGCAGTGCCCCTCCCACCACTGAACTCGTTCCTCTCCACCAATCTGAATCCTCCATTTCCTTTAAGTCTTGGCCTTGGACCCTGCCCCACAGCCTTCCTCGGTTCCCTCACACCAGATCTTTACTTTGAACACCCTCAGAGACTGACAACCACATAAAGCATACAACGTAAGTAGTTATTTAATTAATTCATTTCTCCAAACTACTGGCCATCCCAGGACCTCTACATACACAAGAACTGAGAACCGTAATCAGCAATGGCCATTATATGCCAACAGGTCTAAGTTTATACTTAAGGACTGATAATATTCCCTCAAAACCATAGACACAGTTATTTAACTTTTAAAAATATACCACAACTGATTACCAATATACCATCAACCAGATAGTTTAAGTGGATTTAATGCCAACTTAATCTTGCTCCCAGCAGATATTCTACAAAAGGCACCCAGAACATTTTCAATCAGCCAGTGAGTTAATTCAGTCACATGCGCTACTGGAACTTTCCTGGGGGAGGAAACGCCACTGCAGATAGCGAATGGGACTCACTACCTCACTGAAATCAATGGAGTCAGACGTACTGAACACAAACCTTCACAGTTTCCTTTATCTTCTGCACAATTTGATCCTGGAGGGATGCTTCACAAAGAATATAGTCGGGAGCGATGCAGGTTTGGCCACAATTCATGTACTTTCCCCAGGTTATGCGTCTGAGCAGAAAAACCCAGAATACAATTCAGTCAAATATTCACTTATTACATGTGAAATACAGTCTGTGTGAAACCAACCCAGAAAGTCCAATGTTTTTGTCTTGTTTGAATGTTTTGTAACTAAAATAGATTCATGTATTTACTTGGTAATCCTTATCAAAAATAAAAAAACTCTGGCTCAGCACTGTGGCTTAGCAGCTAAAGCACCAGCCACATACACAGGAGCTGGTGAGTTCGAACCCAGCCCGGGCCTGCCAAACAACGACAACTACAACCAAAAAGTAAAAATAGCCGGGTGTCATGGTGGGTGCCTGTAGTCCCAGCTACTTGGGAGGCTGAGGCAAGAGAATCGCTTAAGCCCAAGAGTTTGAGGTTGCTTTGAGCTGTGAAGTCACAGCACTCTACCAAGGGCGACAAAGTGAGACTCTGTCTTAAAAACAAAATAAAAAATAAATAACTCATTCCTAAATCAGTTGGTTGGAACTTATAATGCATTTTCCAACTGAGACAGAACTCAGGCCAACTCATGGAAAACAGTACTTGATAAGCAGTAAGGCCACTACAGGAAAAGAGGAAATATAGCCTCTCAACACCCTTTACCCAAAAACATCCTAGGTTAGAGGAGTTCAGCACAGACTCTCCCTCTCCTGGCCGTGGCGTTAGGTCTGCCGGCAAGGCGGCAAGGCGGCAAGGCGTTCAGATACAAAGCACACCTCCTGTGTGTGGAGCCCCCCTCCTGTGGAAAGCCTCTCCCCTGCACAGGCATAATCTGAACGGGCACTAACCCAGGGTCTCTTGTTCTTGCACTTCTGCTATAAAGCCAAGCTGGAACCCCGACTTAACTAACTCCCCAGCTCCTCTTTTGGAGCCATTTCCAAAGGGGAGAGAAAACCACATTACCCAGTTCTGTTTTGGCATTTCTTAGTAGCTAGACCTGATTTAGCAAAGATAACCTGAAACTATTTTCTTATTTCCAGATGCTATACAAAGGTGAGTAATACTAGTTTTGTTAACAAAGGATCTCAGTTAAGAGATCAAAGTGATATCTTTTCAAATGGAAATTTAAATAGTCTATTAGGCATACACAATACTTTGGATTATCTGTATCATATAGATCAATGGCTGGCAGAGCATTAAAATTTCTTGCTAGATCTAGCTGTAATCCTAAGAAAGAACTTTTTCAAAATTCCTAAGGACAACCACATCATGCCAGGACCTATGACTCATCATTTCTAACAACGGCATCAAGAGACAGTTTGTGAAAGACGCTGTTACTCAGGAAGACGCCAAACAGCCAAGCTTAGTGGTGCATCTGAGGGCAGAAGCTGTGGGGTTACAGTGCCAAGGATAACACTACCCTATGAAGAAAAGCCTCTAATTTGCCGGGAAAACCTCGGCAACGAGAACCGCTCTCACCTGCAAACAATGTCCAGGTCGCAGTCTTTATCAATGTAACATGGACTTTTCCCTCCCAGTTCAAGAGTCACAGGGGTCAGATGCTTGGCAGCAGCTTCCATGACAATTTTTCCAACTGCAGCACTTCCCGTGTAGAGAATATGGTCGAATCGCTGCTTCAGGAGCTCTGTGGTTTCCTTCACACCACCATTCACAACAGCATACAGGTCCTCCAGGGAAGAGAAACAAAGTTGTGCACTGCCAAATTCCTCCTATTATCTAACATCAGCAATTTCCTCAACATAAACACATAACATTCAGTAAAATCGGGAGAAAGCAAGACCTGGCCCTGTGAAGGGGGAGAGAGAGCTGACCCAACCTGGCCCTGTGAAGGGGGAGAGAGAGCTGACCCAGGTCACCAGTCTACGTAAAACCAACCCAAAAAGTCTAACGTTTTCTGTGTGAGCGCAGCAGTAGAGGCACAGAAGAGAGCAAATGCTTGGATTTGACCCAGGAAATACGTGAGATAGAGGTAGATGTGCTTGTGGGGGCTGAACAAAGGATTCTGGTGAGACCGTGGCTATTGTCCTGTCACAGGACAAGTCCCAGCTGCATGTTCTCTCTCCACACAACACAGAGAAGGCTTAGCCTGTGGAATGCTAAATGAAAGGTACACACAGCATGGTACCTGAGAGGACTCACTCTGAATTGGAGATAACATCTGTTATTAGAAGAATTCACATAGCTTCCGTGTACCCCAATATATATTATGATATTATTATTATTTTTGAGACAAAGCCTCAAGCTGTCACCCTGGGTAGAGTGCCAGGGTGTCACAGCTCACAGCAACCTCCAACTCCTGGGCTCAAGCGATTCTCTTGCCTCAGTCTCCCAAGCAGCTAGGACTATAGGCGCCCACCAAAACAGCCAGCTATTTTTTGGTTGTAGTTGTCATTGTTGTTTGGCAGACCCAGGCTGGATTTGAACCTGCCAGCTCTGGCATATGTGGCTGGCACCTTAGCTGCTTGAGCTACAGGTGCTGAGCCTATATTGTGATATTAATAGCCATTCCAAAAGAGAGAATACCTTGGACACAACAGCATGGAAAGTTAATGACAGAGAACAGATGGCAAGAAAGAAAGACAGGGAAAGGGGGGCACCTGTGGCTCAGTGAGTAGAGCGCCAGCCCCTCCTCCTGAGGCTGGGATGTTCGAACCTGGCCCTGGCCAAACTGCAACAAAAAAACAGCAAGGCATTGCGGTGGGTGCCTATAGTCCTAGCTACATGGGAGGCTGAGGGAAGAGAATTGCCTAAGCCCAAGAGCTGGAGGTTGCTATGAGCTGTGACGTCACAGCACTCTACTGAGGGTGACAAAGTGAGAGTCTGTCTCTAATAAAATAAAAAAAGACAGACAGTGGCTCGGCGCCTGTGGCTCAAGCGGCTAAGGCGCCAGCCACATACACCTAAGGTGGCAAGTTCGAATCCCCAGCCCGGGCCCGCCAAACAACAATGACGGCTGCAACCAAAAAATAGCCAGGCGTCGTGGCGGG